GGTCAATTTTTCTTGACTTCACCGGTCTAGGATCATAGAATTGACTATGTATCCCCCTTTTTCTTTTACCTGGCCCATCAGAGGCATGCCTTGGTTTTACAATACTTGCGGTCATTACCGGTGAACAGTTAACTTCTCTTTTTCCTCGTTTGCCCCATTGTTGCGGTTTTGACGTACGTGTTCTATTGTTGGACTCTTTCAACGCTCCCTTTCTTGTCATGTCTTCCAGTTTCCAAATAACTGCCATTACATGACAGCAGCATTCGCTTTTGGATGCTGGGCACTGACGATCGCAGGATGCTGATTTAATTTTATCAGTACACGTACTACCTCCTTGCACTGTTAATTTAATATTGTGTTTACGATCTCTCTTGAAGAGGCCCAACAGCAGGCTCTCACAAAGACATAATTTTTTTGTGGATCCCTGTACACTTGTAAGTCATGGACAAATCTCATCATTCGTAACCCTTTGTCATTTGAGTTCAGAACATTAACATTATCATACTTCTTAATAGATATGTGGAAACGCATCCATCGGAACAAAATTTGGAAGAAATGAAAAGTTATTGTTGAAAACTTCATTTGCCACTTCATCTGTTGGGAACAAAACCTCTGGATTTTCGGCTGACGAAGAAATCGACAAATTATCTGCCACGTTCTCTTTATCATTTCCTAAATGTCCTTGAAGTTTCGCCTTTGTGTAGCTCTTTTCTGGGTCTGGTCGTAAATATTATCACGGTATTTCGGTATGGCCTTGAATGCCAGCACTCTGTCATAAAAAGGAATAAAAATGAAACTTCAGATGTAAGTGCATTAAATAGCAACAATAGTAAAATGTAAACATCAACCGGCAGCTGTCACTGGCCGAGTTATTACTTTTCTAATTAACAGTTGCTTTTTATTTCCTTGCTGGTTTAGGCGTCTACATTTAAACCAAAACTTTCATTTTTGCACTGTCCACTTTCCAATCTGACTTTCATTTTCTATGACTGGACCAGGAATATCTTCTGGTTTCAACTTTTCCACCTCTAAATTGCGAATCGAAGAGGTTTCTGCCTCCATGTTAACTCTTTCAAAGTTCGCGGGAAATATCTGGAGGGCCCTTAGGCCTCGCTTTCATGCTACTTCCGGCTTACGGCGTAAGTGTGTATTACGTGCTTTGCAAATCCATGTGTTACAAATCCAATCCAGTCCAATCCAGTCCAATCCAGTCCAATCCTTATTTTACAATATGGCGCCGCGCCTGAAAAGCTCGAGGATTTCTCGATATGGTTACATCAGCCCCTGAAGTAATTAAAACTAAGCCTTTTTTCCTTCTTGACTAACGTCAAAAGTCTCGCTGCTCGCCGTAATGGACAGAACTGAGCGACGAAAAGACACAACATTCACAAAACGTTCCTAAACGTCGCGAAAGACCGCGAAGCGACAGTAGAAGAGAGCGCGACTTAAGCAGGGAAGGAAGCAGGGATGTGGGGAGGGGCTGGGCGCAAAAAAATTACCGTGCAAATGGACCCCTCCAACTCACCCTGGAGTAGTTCTGTAAACGATTTGGAATGTTTTGGTCGAAAAACAAAAATTGCAAATTGATTGCAATTTTCAATTTTCAACTTTTAGACCGTCGTTGAAAACAGAAAAACTAAGCCGTGCCACCGACTGCAACAATTTGTCGGAAAAACAAAATAGCCGCTCAAATTCATTTTTCTCTTCATTCTTGACAGGATTAAAGTAAAAATATAAGTTCTGTTTCAACGTTCTACCTAAAGGAAAAAAAGAAAAATATTTTCGATTTGGCACTTTCTTATTTTTTTTTTATGATAAAAATCATGAAAATCAAAAATTGACATCAATTTTCAATTTTTGATTTTAAACGAAAAGTGAATGGACGAATGACCCACGGACCGGAGAGAGGTATAGAGTGTATTCTTCTGTGTTGATAGATCGGACTTCGAAGAAGCGCTGACATAGGTTTTCACTTCGCTGAAGTTAGGTGAGAACAGAGAGTCGCCTTGAATGCCGTCGCTTGAAACACGCTTGAAATCTTGTCTAATATTTTACCAACGGGTTTCGTTGTGCATTTATTCTGTGGTGGACCGTCTAGAAAAAAACCGGGATCGATAGCTGTGTTCTTGTTGTTTCATCCCTTCATATTTTGGTGTCTATCTTTGATTGACAGAAGTTAATGTATGGGAGCGCCGCCTAAGCCTCAGCTCGGCGTAGTCTCGCTCGCACGCGAGGATGTGCCTGAGCTCGAGATTTCTATCGCGCGATAGTTGACGAGGTGCAGCCCGAGTCAACTATCGCCCATAGAAATCGAGGGCGAATAATCTAATTGTTTTAGTATAAATCTACTAGTCGCTCAAAACTTTATCTAAATACTCTCCACAGGCACCTCGAAAACGCAAAGAAGCGGCCGTCATTCTGTTAACAAGCGCACATTGTACGCTACCCACTATCTATCACAGATTATAGTTTACCACTAAATTTTCTCCGATTCTTATTGGTTGGAATTGATCACGTGACGCGATAGTGTTCATCCGCGGAGAGACACTATCAGCCCCTAGTGCTCGTCCGAGGAAAATACCCGACTGGACAGTACTCGTCCGTGAATTTTTTCCTGTAAACAAGGGTGCTTATAGAAAATAAACAATTAAAATTGTATAAGTGGGTTTTTGTCTGTTTTTCTTTTTCGAATTTTACATTTGGCTTTCACGGCTTTCATCTAAAAAAGTTGAAAATAATTCAATAAGATTTTTTGAACTGGCGCGCGGAAGAAAATTTAGTGGTGAACAATAAAGACAATAGAGTCTTTCTGTTTCGGAATTATCGGTCTGATAGTTGCCCCTTGGAAATTTAATGTTCTTAAGGGGGTATGGTACCCTAAAATATGGCGATGTTCATGAAAAATTCAATTTCTTGGAAATACAA